TTGTGGATTGAGAACGATGGAGGAGTGCCAACGTGCCAACAGTGCAACGCCGGAGTCACCTGTTGAACCTGTTGGGTCTGCTGGTATGTTGGGAGGGGGGGGGGGGGGGGGGCGGAGTGGTAGTTGGGGGGGGGGGGGGGGGGGGGGGGGGGGGGGGGGGGGGGGGGGGGGGGGGGGGGGGGTGGAGGATGGTGAGAGGAAGCGGGCGCGTGCGCGCGTGCAGGCGTACAAGCGTGCCGTGTGCAGGGCGTTGTTGTTGTCAAGCTGCTTTGGAAGCTGGAGAACTTCCAGATGCGCGGATGCCCAGATGGCCAGATGACCACTGTACCACTGCGCTCGAGCGTCAGTCGATGCGATCCGTGCGGCTTGTTTTGCGAATGCAGAGTCACGAGCCTCAAGGGGGACCGAGGGCCAAGGTGGGGTCCGCAGTCGCTGATCGCCGAGGAGGCGAGGAGCGAGCGAGCGAGCGAGGCCAGCGACGAGTGATCTGCAAGGATCAGAGAAAAGAGAAGAAGACGAGTCGAGATGGTGATGATCAGTGTGTAGTGTTGACGCGTGTGTGCGCAATCGAGTAAACGGGAAGAGTGGAGGAAGGGCGAGGAACGGGGTGTAGGCAGATGTGCGTGATGACAAGAGTGATCAAGAGGTGTACGAGGTGTACGAGGTGAGCAAGATGGTAAGAGAGATCAGAGAGATAATCAATCCGGAGCGCCAGAGCCGGGGGGAGGAGTGACTGTCCAGCATGTCGTCCAGCGCGCGTCCAGCTTGAGCCAAAGATGTACTCCAGCTGGCCAGCAGTAGTCTGGTGCATCAAGCTGGATGCAACGGGAAGGGAGAGAACAAGGGGGAGATAGGGATAAAGGGCAAGGTCACGTTCATGCATCGTGTCGCATGTCGCAAGCCTCGGCCTCGTCAGTTCAAGCCAACGCGAGTCACCTCAAACTCAAATCCCATAAAGGTAGGCCTCAACGCACCTCGCTCCCCGCCCCCCCCGCCCCACGCCCCACGCGTCGACGCGTGCAAAGGCCGTAAACGGGTGGATGGATAGGAATGGGGCTTTGGTGGTCCGAGCGGCTGTGTTCAGAAGCAGAAGAAGAACTAGATGTAGCTGTATAAAACTGATCGCAATCAAGAGATTTGATGAGCGCTAATCGGTTACGAGATCAAGGCAGACAAGGGAGGTAGAGTGCCTGTGTGCCTGAAGAGGTGACCAAGTCGCGTCCAAAGATCCGAAGAGGCAAGTGGCTCGCGCTAGGCGCGCGCTGGACGTCCAAAGGCCCAAAGTCCGAAGGGTGATATGACACCTGATGGAAGCTAATAACCCAGAGACCAGATTAGGACATGACATGGAAGCGCTTAAACGGGCACCTCTGCATCCCAGCAGCTTTATTACCCAGCGTCCCAGCGTGACACTTGTGCACAGGAAGGATGGGCGTACAGCGTCGCATCCCATGCTCCTAGTCAAGGGTTCGACGGCCGATGGCCCGTGCGTGTCCTGTTCTCAGCCTTTGGACATGTTCCTATTCGGGGGGCGCCTGAGTGCTGAAATGCCTGCGCATGCAACATATATATGCCCGGTTCACCATATCCTTCATAACTTGACGTGGCTCAACCGGAAGCGCGCCACATATCGTCGGAGATGTGTGCCGGTTGGTGGGGGTTCGAACCAGGTTGTGTGAATCACAATTAATTGCCGAACGGCAGCCGGGACTGTGGTCGTGTGAATCACGAGGAATTGCCGAACGGCAGCCACGACCAGCCTAGCACGTCCTAAATTTTTGTCTGATGCATGTCTGAACGCAACGCTTGCTCACTTGAGAGAGAGTCCAGGACCCCTGCGCTTTGCCGCGTGGGTAAGTGTATTGGTCGCCCAGCGCTGTGTCGGTGGCGAGGAAGAGTCGGCGGAACCCATTCACTATGTCCCTCCCTGACAGCGCGTCGAATCCAGCGAGTTGGAGCTTCAAGATACCACGGAATCGATCCGACGTTTGCTTCGATGCCGGCAGTACGGCAGTCCCGCAGCCTCAAGGTCTGGGGCGTGGGGCAGGGCCGCGACGGGAACAATACGTCTGCTCTGCTAACAGATCGGCACATGGTGGATCCACAGCTACGAGTTGCGCCAATGTCTCGGGCTTTCGGCGATCAAGGAGCGCATCTGGCCACGACAGCGAGGTCCTCAGACATTACAGTCGACGCGCGATGCAGTGCCACCACCACACCCAGCCCTCCTGTCTAGGACATGCGTGATACAATGCTAGCTCTACATACCTATCTACAGCCGCTATGCACTAAACCGCCTTAGCGAACTTCTTGCCGGGCTCCTCACGCCTTCCGCCACGATACACCGCAAAGCGAGGCGCGTCGCCATACGTCGGCTTATCCGACGGGTGTGGAAACCCGCCAAACTTGGTCTTGCGATAGACCGCGAATGCGTCGAGATTCTCCTGCTCGGTATTCATGACGAACGGGCCACGCACAGCCACGGGCTCGCCAATCGGCACGCTCTGGAGCACGAGAACGCGCGCAGCCCGCCCAGAGTTCTGGAGCACGACCTCGCCCGATCCCGGCGCCAGCGCGACCGCGTGCCAGTCGCGCACCCACTCCCCGCCGACGTTGACGGCCACGGGCTCGTCGCTGGCCTCGGGGCCCGCGGGGCCCGGCGCCGGCGCGTGCACGTACACTGTACGTTCTGTGCGCGGCGTGTTCGTTGGGGGCAAGGTGACGCTCGCGCCGGGTGCCATCTCCACGACCCACGCCGCGATGTCGGACGTGGGCCGCGAGGCCCATGAGCGCTTGGGCGGCGCAGGCGGCGTGACGCCGAAGAACTCCCCCGCGATAACTTGTACTGTTGCGCCGTCGCGTTCGACGCGCGGAATCGCCTCGTCCCACAGCATGACGAACTCGGGGTCGGCGTCCTTGTCCTCCGCCGCGAGGTTCAGCCAGGGCTGGTAGATGTCGAGCGTGTTTCCCCCCTCCGTCTTCAACAGAGGAAACATCTCCGAGTGCACCACCCCCGCACCGGCCGTCACCCATTGCACGTCGCCGGCGGCGTAGCGCGCGCCGCTCCCCGTCGAGTCCGCGTGGTCGATCATGCCGGCCCGCACGATCGTCACCGTCTCCATCCCCCGGTGCGGGTGCGCCGGGAAGCCCGGCACCGAAGTGCCCATGTACATGTTCCAGCCGTCTTTGTCCGCGAAGTCGTTGCCCAGCACGCGGTCTTTCAGCAGCGCCGCGTCCGGCCCCAGCGCGCCGTTGCCCGCAGGATAGTTGTCACGGTGATACTTCACGTACAAGAAGGGCCCGGGGCCGGGCCAAGACTTGCCGAGCGGCGGCAGGGCGAAGGCCTTGCCGATTTGTGCGAGGCGGAGGGATGCGCGCATGTTGGGATGTGGTGAGTCTGGAGTAGAGAATGAGGTTGGGCTTAAAAGCCGGACGAGCGGTTGGAGGTTTCCGACCAACTGACGTCAGCACATACTGGCCGAGGCGACCGCCCGTCTGGTCAGGCACCTCCACCGCCGCAGATCAACGCAGATCATTACTAAGCTTAATCCACTGTGTGTCATGTTTGGCGTAGTTTCAGAAGTTAAGTCGGCGAGGGCTACTTGGTGGAGATGTCCATGAGTCAACAGGTGCTGTTGCGCTGGTAGCTCGGTGACAATGCTCTCCCACACGGGTGTAGCCCGGAAATCGCGCCCGCCCCAATCCGCAGCCACGCGACGCCCGCATTGTTCTCACCATCTCGGCGTTCTTGGCAGCATCGACAACATCACGACAACATTGACAAGTGGCCGAGACGCGGCGGGTGGCGATGCCAAGCACGCCCCCGCTTTTGTCATGCATCGACCCGGTGACCTCTTCATGACGGATCGCCCAATCCCTAGCATCCTACGCCCCATCTCTTGGCCTGCGCCATAATGTCTTGGCTGCGCCATGTCGGGCGCATCAGGCTGGGGTACATAATGGCTTTCTGACAACTCGGTCCCCTACGAATCATGAAATCACCACTACTCACCCCGCTCCGCTCGCTGAGCCACACCCCCGCCCCGCCGACCGTGAGCCCCATGGCTTCGCCGCTGACCCCAGCCCGCAGACATCGAGGAGGGCTTCGACCTCTCGCCGCCACTTACGACACCGAACGACCTCGAGCGCTACTCTGCATTCCTGCACCACCTGCGCAAAGAGTACAAGGACGACCCAGGCGTACGTGAGGACCCGGACTACGAGGGAATCGGGGGCATCGTGTTTGACGTGCGCGGCGAGCACCCGTGGATTCCGTACGACGGACGCCGCTTCCGTCGCTTCTCGGCGACGCTGCACTCGCCAACCTCGACGCCGGGAGTGCGTGGCGCCGGCGGCGCCGACGACTACCTCGCCCGTGTGGAGGGCATTGCACGCCACTACTTCGGCCACAGAGTGCACTCGTGGTCCGAGGCGTGCGAGACCGCGGGGTGGCGCAAGCACGGCGTGTACAACTGGATGGAGGTGCGGCATGCGGTGCTGCACGTGTTCAGTGAGTGCGACGGTCGGTGTCGCTGACGGGCAGAAGAGGATGAGGAGAGGTCTAAGCACGATAATAAGGCGCCGGAGATGGCGGTAGATGCGCCAAAGGCCGCCCAGCCCCGGGTCGTTGTAAGGCCTGCGTAATTATGACACCTTTACCCGCACAATGTAGACGACTACTTCATCATAACACTACTTCATAATACGAGTTACAGATCATTCGGGGCCCAACACGGCCTGAGCGGCACTGCCTCTGCAAGAATGCCTAGCAGCCACCGCCGTCGCCACCACCTCCGCCACCTCCGCCGCCACCGTCACCTCCGCCTCCACCGTCGCCTCCACCGCTGCCGCCTCCACCTCCGCTCCCGCGACGCCTTCGGGCCTTGGGCGGCTTGGGTGCCTTGGGGGGCTTGGCGGCCTTGGGAGCCTTGGGCTTGCGGGAGAATAGCCGCGCGAGCCAGTTGCGCTGGGCTGGAGTCAGTGACCACTCTCCGAGACACCGTACTCATGATTGGTGTGTTGGTATTGTTCATTGTTGTGCGTTCAGATAGTGTGGTGGCGAGGCCTGAGGTAGCTTGGAGTACTGAGCACTGAACAGCCTTCCAGCCCGTATTTATCCCTTCTGATCCCTCTGATCAGCGAGCAGCTCGAGTAGTTCGCTCTCGACACACGTTTGCCCCCCCTCAACATGGCGCACAAGCCTCCATTCACCACACACCAAAGCACCGCCCACACGCACCGGCGACCTCACTACCGTCAAAGCCGACGCACGGTGACCTCTGAAACGGACTAGGGGGACAAAGAGTCAACACCGCACAGCTTGCAGGACCTCGGCACCGGTCAATCGTTCACGCAGTGGCGAGCATGGCGAGCAGCACGGAGCCAAGTAAGCGCTGGCGGCTCGTGACCGGTGCCGGTCAAGCATGTCGACGATAACCGTTGGATTGTGACGTATGCAGCGGGATCGGCGATCCCCGTGAGGAATGCAACCGAAAGCCAGATAAGACTCTGACCACTCATACGACGATGCAACACTTGGCACCGCCGCACCACCGCCTCCGTTGCGCACGTGCAAGTACGCCGTGCATGTCTTGGCGACTCGGAACGAGCAAGCAGCTCCCGAGCCGTGCTCCGAGCCGAGTACAGGTGATGGTGGGAGTTGGACCTTCGGCCTCTGGTGGATCGTCGATCCCGGATTTGCCACCCATAACATTCCTTACCGCGGATCATCCGCCACAGTGTGCAATTGTGCAAACAGCCAGAACTGACAGTCTGCCATTCTCTCGCCTCGGCCTCCTACATCCAATCCTGTTCCAGATATGGCAAACAGATAAGAGACCGATGGAGTCTCAGCGCCAATTGGAGCGGCCCATGTACATGCAGTGGAGCGTCAGGAACGCTGGTATGCCGCGATTCTTCGCCAACTTACATCGAGAGTGGCCTCGCGAGGCATCGGGACTCACGACAGTACGGCAGCGAGCTAAGCTTATGAACGCAAATGCAAAGAAGGCTGTGCCGTGAAAATGGCATAAAAGGGGCACCCGGACGCACGATTCTCTTCACCAATCTCGAAACACATCAATATGGCTAAGCTCATTGGTAGGTACACTCACGCAGACCGAATCAAGCGCGTCTTCAAGCCTCAGCAGTCTGAGGCAGCCAAGGCAGCTGCGCCACGCGGCCCGTCTCCCCCGGCAATCCTTAAGCCCGCTCCTGCCCCCCGCCTGCGCCGGCCCCCGTCAAGGCCGCCCCTCCCATGTTAGATCGGAAGCCTCAGTCAAGGGCCGCTACCGCGTCTGGCGGCAGAGCAGGGGGTTCCTCGGCCATGGTCTACCACCCTGTCGCCACCACCCTTAACGGCACCCACACCGCTGGTGGTAGTGTCGGAGATGGCGGTGGTGGCGGGTACGGTGACGGTGGACACAGTGGCGGTGGCGGAAGTGGAGGAGGAGGCGGACACGGGGGAGGCTACGGAGGCGGAGGCGGAGGAGGCCATGGAAGCGGATATGGAGGTTACTCCGGCCCCAGTGGTGGGGACAGCGGGGGTGGTGGAGGTGGTGGCGGTGGTGGTGGTGGTGGTGGTGGTGGTGGTGGGGATGGCAGCTGAGTCCTCTTCGAGTCCGATTTGATATGGAAACAAGGAATGCAACCATGACCGTTGGAAGTTGTTTGGTTCCAGGGCCAGGCAGTCCTGTATTCTCCATGTTCAGTCGGCCTTCCGAGAAAGGCGTGCCAGGTTCGCTCTCATCCGCTCGAGAGGACAGAGCGCAGGTGCATGGCATATAAGGTATGCATGGCCTCACCTGTGCACAGTGTCGTTGCAGACAATTCTGTTGCTCGGCGTTGATTCGTCCATTCACGGAGTGGGTCTGAGCGGCGTATTCCTCCTCCGCTCTCCTCCACCAATTCACCTTCTCAACACAGCACAGAACCACTGGCCCTTCCCCCTCTCTCGCCTCCTCCTCCTCCCGGCTGCAGTCTGACTCCGAGTAGGCGAATGGCAGGCACTGCGAAGCGGCTTCGCCCGCCTTCATGACGGCTGATTTCTGACGCGTGCACCGTGCCGATGCTGACGCCACAAGCCGCACCCAAGGGGCAGTTTGGCGCTTCACTTGTCCAAGGAGGAGCTGTCCGTGGGGACCGCTTCTCCGACGACAAGTCACGGGGACGAACGCTCAAGCTCCATGCGAATCTGCATTCATGTACTTATAACTTGCTCACGTGCCACCGCAGTACATGACTCGCAGGCTCGCAGCCGGGGAGAAGCGGGGCCAGCTAACTGCCCCATGCACAGGGTATCGCCATGTCCCACAGTCCGCGTGGCGCTTCAGATGTCAGCTGAAACCACTAAAATTCCTGATCAGGCCGGGAATGCACCGGCTCAACGGGAACACCTGCACCCTGCAGGCAACGTCTGCGCTTCTTCCATGACGCAGCGACGCAGTACGCTGGAACCCTCAGAACGTGCGCTTCACTTGCGTGCACCACGCTCTCACGAGGCGCAATTCGAACTGCAGACCCTCTATTCAACAGAACGGGGGTGCAAGATGACCTGCGCCTTCATGTCGTTAGGCATCGCATCTGAGCACAACCACTGTCGAAGAACGCTGTCAGGCTCCAGGCACAAGGCGTGCTCTCGATTGGTAGATGCCTTTACGACCCCGTGAGGTTAGGCCGATAGGCAGGACGCTGAAAGCGTCGAAGCATTACGGCAGAGGCGCGCGATGCATGGCATGTAACAAGCTCGGGCGTTACGTGTTGCCCGCCACGACCGGTGAGCCAACTCAAATGTCTCGTCTTGCCCTGCAACAACGACAGGCACGCTGCCACTTCTGCAGTCCTCATCGCCCCAAATCAGCCAAGTAACGCTCTGCAGGCCCACTGCAGCCCCAGCCCCGGCGATCAGGCGAGCTGCTGCAGAGCATGGCTGCTAGTCATAAGGCCGTGGGATTCACAAACAATTCGATCCCCTTTTCCCCCCATTCCTCTACCGAAAACGATAACGATGAGTGAGCCTCCCACTGCCGAGATTCCGCTCACACCAGCCACAGCTGTCGAATCCAGGCCATCATGGTGGCGCCGAGTGTTCAAGCGTCAGCGGTACGACCCTCGAGCTGACCGCCGCGTATCGGCACTACCGCCCCGTCTCGACCTCAAGCTTAGCACAACGCCGATGGCCTCCCGCCTCGACGTTAACTTTGCCAACGCCGGCCAGTCCACAGTGTCGCTGGACGTGCTGCCTACTGAGCCGCGGCCTACTTCCATCCCGCCGTCCAAGTCCATGCCGGACGCCAAGGCACTCTCGCGCGAGCCACCGCCTCCTCTGCCCATCGCACCAGCAGCCGTCGCCCCGATATCCTCGGGTCACCCGGAAGCTCAGCGGTCCGCCCCCCCCGCCTCCCCCTCCTCGCCTGGCTTCAGCCGCAAGCTGCACTCGACCACACGGGCATCCGAGACCCTCGCTTCCAGGACGCAGAACATGCCGGGCTACAGCGTCACCACGTACGTCCCAGTCAGCGTCAGCGCCGCGAGCTCTGCCGACTCAAGCTCGAGCTCGAAGCGGGAGAGCGGCGAGTCGGGCTCAGCGTCGCAGTCTGAGCGCGCGTTGCCCGAGACATCCGCCCCTGTGCGCGCTAGCGAAGAGAGCGCGTTCTACAGCACACACGACGAGGTCCCGCCGTCCGTGCCCGTGATGCAGCCTGAGCCAGTGCACCAGCGTCCCGAGCCAGTCCAGCCGCAACACGCCCCCGCCCAAGCCGTGCAGGCGCAAGTGGTGCAGCCCGAGCCCGTGGAGCAGGTCGTCCAGCCCGTGTCTCACCCGCACCACGTCGTCCTCTTCCAGCAGCAAGCTGTCCAGCCCGAGCCCGTCCACGAGGCTCAACCTCAGCCACAGCCGATTCACCATGCCGACTTTGAGCCCCAGACCGCCGAATCCTCCCGCCTCCCGGTCTCACCACCGCGCCCGCCGCGCTCACCCGGCCGCCCCTCTGCGCCCCTGGCACACGAGCCCGACCATGAGCACACCGCAGACGATTATGCATCTGACGACGCCTACGACTACTCGGACACTCGCGAGGGCGAGTACGATTACTCCGACTCGCCTGAGCAGCACGCCGATATGACGTTCGGGCGTGGCCGCACGGCCGTCGCTTACTGAGTCGCTGGGAATCGCTGGCGCAGGAACCAGCACGACAAGTCTGTATGTACGAGTTGTAGGCCGCGGCCATAGGACTATGCACGATAATCTCACGATCTCACGATCTCATGAGCATGCGAGCTGGCACGCTGGCAACTGAGCTTGTTCTGAGTGATGGAGGACGGAGCTATCAGTGGCCACCAGTAGCAGGCAGGCGGTGCGGAGGTGTAAACAGTCAGGTGACGCACGATGTAACGCTAGGCACTAGTCTGGCCTGTTTCGTCGCTTGGTCGTTGGCCATGCCGAAAGCGGAAGTGGAACCTTGAGCGTCGTAGCTGCTTGTCGTACGTCGGCCAACAAGTAATGTTATCCATTGGCCAGCGACAGCCGCGGGTCGGACTTGCACGCAATCGTTGGAGATTGACAGTTGCGACAGCCTGTCCCGGCTTATCACAGAGGCCTGGCTGCCCCACTTCCTCTCTGAGCCTGGGTGCGATGCCTGAACCCAGTCGGGAGAGGCACTGCGTGCCTTTGCTTTTGTTTCAAAGCATTATTGTCATGGAGGCGAGATCGGAAACCAAGATAGGAACCGAAGTGGAATAGATGATGATCGATGACCTCACCACAACGCCGAAGACTGGTTCATGGCACAGGTATCGTCCAGCTCGTCTCCAGCATCGTTTCAAGACGTAGACATCTCACATACATAAGCTCGCCTCAACTGCTCGCACCTCCCTTCGGGTGACGGATATGGGCAAATGCCTCGTCCATCGCCCGAATAGTCTTGAGGGTACGCTCGTACGTGGCTTCAGCGTTCGTCTCTGCCTTGGCTCTCTCCTGGGCAGCTGATCTGGCGGAACGTAAGTTTGCCTCGTAGCCAGTCACCGTCCGGCTTATAGCGTTCTGGCTCGTTGCGCTGTCGCGTAGACCTCTCGTGGTCCCTGTCTCGGACTCGCTCGAGCTGCACTCAGCATGAACCGTTCGCGCTACTCACGAGCGCAGCCGGCGCCAATGCAGGTCTGATCAGCAGTGTATCGGACGACTCACGGTCTGCGGCGGAGGAGTTGGAGCGGTGCGGCATTCTGCGAAAGGTCCAGCGCCAAGAATTGAACGTGGCTGGGCTGATGCAAAGGAAGCTGAACTGGAACTGGCGACACCGCATCTTGGATGGCCGCTCCGTGAGAAAGTGTGTCTGCAGGCCTCCTCGTCCGGTAAGCGAAGAGGGCGCATGGCGTGGCTTATTGATGACAGTCATTCCACGGTATCCAGCGCCGCTTGTCCACCATCCAAAGGGGGATGCAAGTACGCAGCCATGGGCTTCATGGGCTGCTTTGTCATATGTTCGGATGCACCTCGTAAGAAGGAGGTACGTGATGAGGAGGGGAACATCTGCTATCAAGCAGAAGGCCGCTGGTGGTAGTCGGCCCTCCCGAGCTGGCCAATTGTCCAATTGTCCAGGCCGCTACCCGGCGACCGGCGGCCGACGGCATCCTCACGCCCGATGCTTGTTATGGCGGTGAGCAGGCGACTTTCAATCACATGAAGCGGGCCCTCGCCGCCTCGGTGATTGCCGCAGTTCGCCCCGCATCCCCCGCACGCACCCACGGGGCCCGGATCGGACACCAGATCATGATCGGCAGAACCAAGACAAGACATCTCGGTCAAGTAGTCACCGCAACTCGGGTACTTAAGCTGCTGCAGCCCACCATGCGCACCCGCACCCTCGCCAGCTCTCAAGAATGACAGCCGACCCCCTCCCCGTGCCCGCAGCGCCCTCTCTGCTCCCCATGATGCCGTACGATGAGGCGGCGCGCGCGCGCGCGGCAGCCTTCGCGCAGGCTGCGCGGGAGACTGCTGCAGCGATGGGCGCCGCCCCGCTCCTCCAACAGCCCATCAACGCGGGGCGCAAGCTGCGCGTCGTGTGTATTGGCGCAGGCTTCAGCGGCATCCATGCGTCCGTCTACCTTCCGCAGCACGTACCGAACCTCGAGCTGCAGGTCTACGACCGCGCTGACGACGTCGGCGGCGTCTGTGAGTAGCTGTGCCCCTGCCCAGCGAGCCTGACTGATGCAAGGGCACCACAACCGGTACGCGGGGATCGCGTGCGACATTCCCGCACACTCGTACCAGCTCTCGTACGCGGATAATACGCAGTGGTCCAAGTTCTTCGCGCCTGGCGGCGAGATCCAGAAGTACCTTGCCCGCGTGGCGGACCACTACGGCGTGCGCAAGTACATGAAGCTGCGGCATGAAGTCGAGGAGCTCCGCTGGCTGCCTGACGAGGGCAAGTGGAGCGTGCGCGTGCAAGATCTCGTCACGGGGATGCGGTTCGAGGATAAGGCCGACTTCGTGGCCTACGCTACGGGCGGCCTATCCAAGCCGGTCTGGCCAAAGATCCCAGGCCGGGAGACGTACAAGGGTGTCATTCACCACTCGGCAAGGTGGGACACTGCCAAGGAGGAGGCGGACGGCATGGACTGGAGCAACAAAACGGTCGGCGTCATCGGCGTAGGAAGCAGCGCAATCCAGATCGTGCCCGAGATGCAGAAGCGCGCCAAGCATGTCGTCAACTTCGGCCGGTCCAAGACTTGGCTGTCAGGCGTGTTCTCGCCCGATATTCTCGCTCAGCTCGGCGCCAACACCAAGGAGGGCATGAATCGTACGTCTGGCAGTGGTAGGCGCTTACGCCAGACATATTCAGTGACGAGGAGAAGGAACGCCTGAAGGATCCTGCGTTCTACGCCGAGTTCAGGCGCATGGTCGAGCGCGACCTCGGCAGCGTGCACTACATTACGCATCAGGGGAGCATGCTTCAGACAGCTGTGCGCGCCGATATAGAGGCGACAATGCGCCGCAAGCTCGAGCGCAAGCCGGACATTGCGAGCTCCCTCATCCCCTCCTTCCCAATCGGGTGCAAACGCCTCACCCCGGGTCCGGGGTACCTGGACGCGCTAGTGGCCGACAACGTCACGTTCGTAAGCGACAATCTCGAGTGCTTCACTGAGAAGGGGATCCGCACCAAGGCGGGCGAGGAATTCGAGCTAGACGCCATAATCTGCGCCACCGGCTTTGACACGTCCAGTGTCCCCGCCTTCCCGATATATGGCACTGACGGTGTCAATCTTCAGGATGCGTGGAAGGACGAGGCTAGGACCTACCTTGCTACCACCGTAGCTGGCATGCCCAACTTCTTCAGTATTCTGGGGACACAGGCGGGCGTCGGATCCGGGTCGCTGCTCATCGTCATGGAGGAGCAAGTGGCGTATATGGCCAAGGCGCTCAATAAGTGCGCAAATGAGGGCTACAAGTCGCTCGTAGTCAAGGAGGAGGCTGTGGCCTCGTTCCTCAAGTATACCGACGCATACTTCTCCCGAACTACCTTTGTAGGGGACTGCCGCTCTTGGTACAAGAACGGCAAATCAGGCGCCGCCAAGATCCGCACGCTCTGGCCAGGCTCAAGCCAGCACGCTGTCCTCTCGCTCCGTCATCCTCGGTGGGAGGACTACGACTACGAGCGCGAGCCGGAATACGACCACCCGATGGCATGGCTCGGAGACGGACACATACCCGTGGACGTGGATCCCGGGTTCTATTACGATGATTTGCGCTCGCGGATGGCGCAAACTTCGTTCTTCACAGATTAGAACGATGCGGTGGCGAGCATAGGTCAAGGGGCCGCAGTTCATATGCCTGTGCCTTTTCGTCGAAGAAGCTCGCGGAACTCCGGGAAGTGCATATGAGTTGTCGGTCAGCAGACGGCGTTGGAAGGTAAGCGGCGTCCAGTTGTAGTTTCGGAACCTGAATAAGATATTGAAGAGTTAATGATGGTATAGTGAGAGTGGCCACGAGGTGCTTGAGAGAGTGTGAAGCATCTGAAGTCCAGGCATAGCCGCTCACTACGGATCATGGTTCTCCGTCAAGTGAGCGGGAAAGAGGGCAAGAAGAACAACATAGGAGTATCTGTGCACATTAGCTCGACTGTCTTCCCAATCAAGAGGTACTTGCCGCTAATCCGCCGCCGTGTCTATCACATACATGATTATAATGTCAACGCGCAGATCAACACACAGCGTCTATCAGTGATTGTGCAGTCTAGCAGGTCGAAGCGGTTGCGCGCTTAGCAGGTGCACGCGCTGGGTGCGGCCTCTTCTGCCGGCTTCTTGTTGACCTTGACGCCGGCAGTGCCACCGGCCTTGGCCGGCGCCAAAGGAAGCTTGTGCGCTGCTGTTAGCTGCTACTAAATCCTAGCTAACGACGCCACCCACCAATCTCCATGAAGAAGTCCTCAACCCCTTCACCCGTCTTCGCGCTCGCCTCAGCGAAGAGCAGTTCCTCATCACGCGCGAATTCGGCCGCCAGCTCACGCGGCACCTTGCGCTGCGACGCCAAGTCGACCTTATTGCCGACGAGCATGATAATGATTGACGGATCGGCCTGGCGTTTGAGCTCACGCACCCATGCCTTGGCCTTGTCGAACGATCCCTGTCATCAGTATACGAATACTGATACCCTTGCGCACCTCTGGGGGCTGGGGTCAGCGAAAGATACGCGCGTGATACATGCCTGTGTGATGTCGTACACAATGACGGCAGCGTTCGCGTTACGGAAGTAGATAGGGGCGAGCGATTTGTAACCTAATGTGAGCAGGTGGCGTCGTGGGAAGACTCGTGGACGTACGCTCCTGTCCTGCCTGCATGTTAGCACATCACTAGCAAGACAGCTTACGGTGTCCCAGATCTCAAACTTGATGTTAGTCGAGCTGTCAAGAGGGACAGTCAGAGTAAGGAAGGCGGCTGGGGATCAGCTGGTCTGCAGAAGGTGGAGGAGCTGGTCAACATACCACCTGCGAGTTAGTATGTATGATAGCGAGATCAGCTGGGCGATGCATACCGATGGTGGATTCCCTGGTCGTCAGTACTGGCGCTGTTGCACCTACACAATACGTACCGGAAGTCTGAGAACTCGTTACGGACCTGTGGCTGTTAGTGGGGGGGGGGGGGTGCTCACACGACGGGCGGAGCTGAACTCACAAAGCGGAGCACGAGGGAGCTCTTGCCAACGGCTGACTCGCCTGACCATGAGCCAAGCAACAAGGGCGTCTCTTACCGAGGAGCACTAGCTTGAAGGAAGCTGTCCTGACCATTGTGGAAGAGGGGCGTGAGAGAGGTGAAGAGTGATGAGGAGTGAGGAGTGGGCGATGGTGAGGAGGGAAGATTGTTGACAAGATTCGAGCTTCAAGGCCAACTGCGCTGGAGCGGCCGGAGCGGGGAGCTGTGCTCGATCCTCGGCGGGTGGCAACTTGACGCGATACCTGACCACAATTAGCTCCCGTTTCATCAAGGCACAACATCACCGCCAGTTTGCACCAACTTTGGTCTCTCATTCTCATAATCCACCTCCTCCGGTCAATCGCATCCATCGCCCTTCTACACGCCCCAGTGGTTGTCCAACCCGTCCAGCAACACTTCGCTTCTCTCTCACTAGCTGGGAACCCCGGCAAGACCAGTGTCCCTCCGTCTCTCAGTTACGCGCTTTCTGCCCTCGCGTTGCTTCCGGCCGCGTCTCCAGTTGCACGATCTCAGCTTCGTGTCAGGCCCTCCTTCTGCCTTCTAAGCTTCAGTTGAGATATCCATCCATCCATTCAGCCAACAGCCATGAGCTTCCGTGGACGTGGGAGGGATTTCAATCGTTTCCGTGATGGCGGTCGAGAGCGCAATGCGGGTCGCGGTGGCCGTGATGACCCTGGTCAGTTCAACCCTGCACCTTACGGCTTTCCCTCCGGTGGTAGTGCAGGGTATGGAGGTGGCGACAACCAGGACAGTTATTATGGAGCAGGCCCTAGCCGCGGACGTCGTGACGGTCCCGCTCGGGGCGGCCGGGGTCGAGATGGTCCCGGCCCTCGTCGTGATCGCGACCGTGGGTTCGCTGCGCAAGATCGCCGCGAGCCATACGCGTTGCACAATCGTGACCATGATCGCCCAGACCGGGGGCCTCGTAAGTTGCTCTCTCAGACCAATCTGACCCCGGACACCGATGGTCCGCTCCGCGCGCTGCCGAACCCGGCACGACCTAACCCGACCAAGGAAGTCCGCCTAGAGCGCTTGGCTCGCGAGCGCGTCTCTCGCACCCTTTTTGTTCGCAACATTGCTGTTTGTGCATGTTTAAGCGTGGCTAACTTCAGTACGAGACAATGTCAGAGAAGTTTCGCACTGACTTTGAGCGATTCGGGGAGTTGCGCGAATTCTTTGATTCCATCTCGCGCCGTGGTCTGGCGTTTGTGACCTACGTGAGTGGGTTATCCCTCATATGACTGACGAAAGTATGACATACGCGGAGCCGAGGCAGCGCGTCGTGAGATGCACGGTACCAAGATCTACGGTCGAGCAATCGATGTGCACTTTGGTTTGCCCAAGGAGCACGACAGAGAGGGCCCCTGCGACCAGTCAAAGAACCAAGGGACGCTTCTTGCGCGTATCCATCCGCCCCGCCCTCTTCACCCAGACGAGGTCGGCCCCGTGGCTGAGCAGTCAGGTGCAATCAAAACTATACGCGATGGGAGGGTTCCGTCCGAGGTTATGATTGAGTTCTATGACAGCCGCGCTGCCGTCGACTTCCACGCGCGCTTCGCCAACAAACCCTTCGGCGGCGGCACCCTAGAGCTCGATTATATGTGGGACGAAGGCGAGATTGTTAACCCGGATCCTGTGCGAGCCGACGAAGTGATCTCGTCCACTTTTGTCACCCGTCGCGAGCTGCTTGACCGTGAGGGCCGCGGCCATAAGTATCCTCAGGTCCCTGATCAATACGACAACAAGCGTGGTCAGAGCCCGCCACGCCGATATGGCGGTGGAGGTCGCTATAATGACGCGCCTACGCACGCAATGCGTCCTCCTGTCCAAGACCCTCACCGCTTAGAGGAGGCGCGAAAAGTTCAGAATCTTCTCGCGACGCTGGGAAGTGTCCCGTCTCTAGGCTCCGGCGCTCCGCCGAATCCCCAAGGTCCGCCACCACCTGGACCAGGGTACGGTGGACCGCCTCCTCCGCCTGGGCCACCGCCGGATCCGCGCCGGAGCTCATATTCTGGGCCACCCTCGGGACCGCCCCCGGGACCGCCGCCTCGGCCGCCTCCCATGAGATACCCTCCGGGCCCGCCGCCGCCTTCCTACTCGTCAGCTCCTCCCCCTTCTCACTCCCCTTCTTACCCTCCGCCTAGTTCATCGTACCCGCTTTCGAACTACCCCCCAGCGCCACCACCTGCCTCGTATCCTCCGCAGCATTCTCCTCCAGCGCCCGCGCCGTCTTACGCGCCGCCATACTCGCCAGTGGCATCCAGCACTCCCCTGCCATCGCAGGTTCTCGCGATGCTTCAGCCGCAGCAATCGGGGCAGCAGGGGTACCAGTCCAGCCCTCCAGCGCAGAGTTATGACCAGCGACAAGCTTATAACGCGTCCCCGCCACAGCAGGGGTACCAATCAACGCCAGGCTATGGCGGTGCACCTGATTACCGTCCTCCGCGCCCACAGCCCGGCTACAACTCCCAACCCCCTCAGCAGCAGCAGGGATACGACCCGAAGACTGGCAGCGACGTCAGCAGTCTTCTCGCAATGCTGAACAGGTAATGCTGTTCGGCCAACATCTCTTCTCAGCGTAGAGCTCGTCAGCTTATGAATTGTTACTCCTGAGAGCGCCGCAAGCCAAGCTTCTCGGCGGAGTGGAGCGATGCTATGCATATGCTTACAACAATCTAGATATAGGTAGTGAAAAGGGGCAAGAGTTATGAGATGGCGAGCGGCGCACCAACGGGCTGAGGGTGCTCCTGGTAGAAGCGTTGGAGAGTGGTGATGTTGAGTGCGGTGCCGGTGAGGCTGGTGGACGACGAGGCATGCACACGAACTGCAACATAGTCGCCGGGCTTGATCTCGTCAAGGCAGTCGCCATCGGAGATAAAAACGCGCCGTCCTCCATCATCTGTACCCGCATGCCGGCCCTTACTCAAACCTGAGTAGAGCACGAGCTGAAGGCTGCCCAGGAGCGCGGCGTTGCGCTCGCCTGCACGCGCAAAGAACGTGTCCATGATCTCACGCAGGCGGCGGTCCTTGTCCGGCTGGGAGACATCGTCCTGGTACTTGCGATGCGCGTGCGTCTTCTCGCGCATGCTGTACGCGAACATGAACGCGCTCTCGAAGCCGACCTCACGCATGACCTCGACAGTCTCGACATGCTCGGCCTCGGTCTCTCCGCAAAATCCCGCAATCACGTCCGTGGACAGCGCCACGTCGGGTATCGTCTCGCGGATGTGCGCTGCCAGGCGCACAAACGCCTCGCGGCTGTACCCGCGGCGCATGCGTTCCAGCGTTGTTGTCGACCCGCTCTGCAGGGGGAGGTGGACGCGGCGGCACACATTCGGGTAGTCCCTGATGACGGCCAACAACTCGTCTGGGAAGTCCTTAGGGTGCGGGGACGTGAAGCGCACGCGCAGCTCAGGATCAACCTCAGCGACGGCAGCGACGAGGTCGGCGAAACGACGGCCGCCGTCCTTCCCGCGGTAGATTGTCTTGAAGCCCTCGGACAGCGCCCCGCTCTCCTCGGGGAGCGCGTAAGCCTCGCTCTCCGACGTGTCGCGGTACGAGTTGACGTTTTGCCCGAGCAGCGTGACCTCCTTCACGCCGGCGGCGGCGAGACGGCGAACCTCAGCCACGACCGAGTCGATGTCTCGGGACCGCTCCGCACCGCGCGTAAACGGCACAATGCAGAATGCGCACATATTGTTACAGCCGCGCATGATGCTCACGTACGCGCTGTGTGGGTTCTTGTCGTCCATGCGCACGGGTGTGATGTCGGCATAGGTCTCGTCGGCGCTCAGCATAACGTTTGCGACGCCGTCGGCACCGAGCGCGCGCAGCGACAGGAGGCGCGGAAGGGAGCGGTATGCGTCCGGCCCGCAAACGACATCGGCGCCCCGGTCCAGGAGCTTCTCCTTCAGCCGCTCGGCCATGCAGCCCAGCACGCCGACGGTCGGCGGCTTGCCCTTGCCCATTTTGGTGCGTCGCCCCTTGAGATCTGAGAGACGTCCCCACACGCGCTCCTCCGCCTTGTCGCGCACCGCACACGTCATCAGGAAGATGATGTCCGCGTCGGCTAGCTCCGTCGTCCGCTGATACCCGCTCTTGTTGAGGACGGCCATGAGCACCTCGGTGTCGCTCACATTCATCTGGCACCCATATACCTCGATGTAGTAGCGGCGGCCCTCACCCCAGTCACTCACGGAGAGGTATGGGACCTCGTCTGGGCGCGCAGACAGGGCGGTGGGATCGGGAACGAGCGACTCGGAGAGGAAGTGCGCCAAGCCCGGTCCATGGCGGTTGTTGAAGACGAGGCGACGGCGATTTTTCGGCGCGAGCGACGAGGTGGGGGCGGGACTTGTGGTCGCGGCGGCAGCAGTGGCGTAGGCGCGTGCCGCCAAAGCCGAGCGGGGCATCCTCCCAAAAGAGGCGAGAATGCGAGGCATAGTGGCGGGAGAGGCGAGGTGATGGCCGAAGGTCCTCAAAATCATTGTAATCTCGGCCCCGTCGTTGGCTCTGAAACAGCAATCTTATACGAGCCCCTCACAACTGATATCGGAGCCCCAGGGTTTGAGTGGCAAATGACGATCCTTGTTTATGTCTGCACAACATAATTACATGTAACATCGTGGCCAGATCTGTGTTGACACCAAACGGGAGTGCCGGTGACAGCGGAGGCGGCTAAAGAGGGCAGGCGAATGGGTGCTTTGCAGGTCAAAACGTCGATTATCGGAACGGGTGTGTGTCATGTGCGAGATGGCTTCCGCTCCCGCCAATGTGCGTTTCACCCTCAAGAGTCTTTGTCTCGAGACACACTTCTTGTTTCAACAACAAACATCTTCCAACCCTCCACCTCATCTCTCACTCTCTTTGAGTGTCGTCGTATCCAGCAATGGTGGACGCCACTTCTGCCACTCTTTCATCTAACCCAGGTGCTTCAACACCCCTGTCCGCGAAGCATGGTCGAGGCTCGTCCAGCGTGGACGCGGCTCCTCCCGAGAGCAGAGGGTCAACCACGCCCGCTACCCGGGAGACACCGAGCCTGACACCTTTCGCGCTCGCGTTCCTCGCACTCCCGCACGAGCTTCTGACCCATATCCTTCTTTACCTCGCCCCCGACGATCTCGGTATCCTTTCTCGCGTCGTTGGCCCACTCGAGGGCGTGGAGCGCGACTCGTACCTCTGGGCTGTTTGGGTACATCGAGTGAGTTTGGGCGTGTGAAAGGAAGGGTGTGCGTGTTTGCTTCCTCGTCCACAGCCAGCGTGCTCTCTGAGCAGAAAGCTACATCGCCCCCTCTCGCAGTCCGCAGCTGTTCTCCTGTCGGTAGCTGATGATAGACGGCCCCCTCACGTGTAGGCCATGCTCTGTTCTCTCCTCTACGGCCCGACCCTCTCGAACTAGTGCGACGCGGCACACTTCGCGGCGTGGCGATCGTCAACGGCGTCCGCGCGGGCGGATACTGGGCAAGCCCTTCTGTGAGTCTCCGCAAGCAGGCTCAAGCCACCGTGTCCCCGCCGCTAACGTAAGGCGGTGCGCCTCAGCATGATCCACGACAAGCTTTCGCGCCGCAGTCTGCACCGGCATCTCAGCCTTGCGTTGTATCTGCGTCCGTCGCGGTCCGCCCTCGTACGAGCTGGCATCCTCCATGCCCTGCCGCGTGGCACCTCTGCGACCATCTCGGCGCGCGCACACGCCCTCGAGCGTGCGCGTGCACGCGATGCTGCGCGCCAGGCTCTTCGCGCCATGGGACAGAGGACCTTCGTCGAGGCGCTGAAGCTCGGGATCTGGAAGGACACGCAGCGTGTGCTGCTCGCACTCTGCCCCAGCATCAGGGAGCGGCAGCGGTTCTTCGAGGGCTTAGCGCGCGCGTGAGTCAAGCGAGGAGAGTTTTGGGCCATCTGAAAGAGTTCTCGATTGTGTGTATTAGTTGCCGTGTTGTTCATGTTACTGTGTACTAGTTCCCTCACATGCCCCACAGCGCCTTGTTTGGTTCTTGCACGGACCACGCCATTTGATCTCCACTTTTTTTGGAGTGGAATCGCAGTTCGGCTTTAGCCGTTCGTGGAGGCGATCGGACAGCGCATACCATACCGTTGAAAGTCCAGGCTCTGGATCTCTGGATAGCAGTCCTCCATACTGCTGTGACCAACATAGCGGGACCCATGACTGACCGCCGTCATCTGACCACAACCTTTCCTGGACCGAGAGATAACCCGAAGGCATCGGCAGAGGGTGGGGGTGACGGGAGTGTGAACTGCTGCATGCACATGGACAATGCCGAGAGGACTCCTCGACACCTCCGCTGCGGAGCTCGCTGCTCGCCGAGGTCGCGAATCGCCCCATCGCATCAAAGAAGCGTATTCTTCGTCCGCTGAAAGCAGCACTAACTAGTACGTCATCGTCACTTATCTGACAGTCGTGGAAGCCGCTACAGAACACGGGCAGGACAGCCGAGGTTATCTTCTCTCGGCGCTACCTTCACCAGCATCCGCCCATGCCCACATATGCGCCGAAACTCGAAGGCAAGTGATGGTGCTCGGGCGGGCGGACGTGAGTGAGGCAGGCGGCAGTGAACGGCAGACAGCACGGAGGCATACTGGTGGATGTACGGATGTGGACGGACTTGGTTAATCTTGGCAAATGGGCAGAACTGCAGATACCGCCTGTGAGCTCGTGCAAGCTGAGCCTCGAAATAGCCGCCAAGGGACAGGTGGGGGAGGTGTGTCCTATCAGCGCTGCGCGTCTGGCGAGCGGATGTACGGAGGTCTCGTGACGCATGTACGGATGGTGCCGGACAAGCGGGAGGCTTGGCTCCATTGCCGTTCACTTGGCCAATTCGCCAACTTGGCCTGTCCACATGCCCTGCGCCGTGCCCGATTGCAATTGCCATTCCTCGGCGCGTAACTAGCTATAGACCTCACTCCGCAGCGCTCACCTACAAGCGGCTGACCTCCAGTCCGTCGGGTAAAGCTGCGCAATCGTTTAGTAGTGTGTCGAACGTGGGACCCCTCGCAGCCCCGCTGTGGCCCCGAGGCCGGCCCCGGGTCTGAGCGCTCCGATGCAGAGCAAGAATGTTCTTATAATCTCGTATCGTGACTCCACATCCCCACTCTCAGCAACATGTCCTACCCAGTGGAAGAGAAGGGCGTCATCGTCCAGGCCGAGAGCCGCGATGGCGAGCAAATCCTTGGTCGCCGGCACAGTCAGATCGAGAAGGGGCCGGGTCACATCGACGTGCACGAGGTGGATGAGAAGGAGCTTGACGAGGCTGAGGACGCCATCATCGCCGAGCAGGAGTTCACCCCCGCCGAGTACTCGCGCGTCCGCTGGAAGATCGACCTCATTCTCATGCCCGTCCTCATGATCATCTACGGTTTGCAATTCGCTGACAAGGTGGGTTGAGTTCGCGATGTGCTGTGCTTCAGAGTGAATGAGTGGCGATCGGCGGAAAAGTGGGCAAAATTGACACCAGACATCTCTGGCTGCAGGCGTCGTATTCGGCCTGCGCGAGGATACCAAGCTCGTCGGCAACCACTATGCCGACCTTACGACTTACTTCTACATCGGTTATCTTGTGGCGCAAGTGTGAGTTGTGGTCACGACCGGCTGAAGAGCCGACAATCTTGTGCCTGTGATTTTGACTGATGCAAGACCTATGGGCTGGGTTCTCCAGCGCTTCCCACTTGGTCGCGCGCTTTCCGTCTGTGTGATTATCTGGGGCGGCATGGTCATGCTCCTGGGTGCCTGCAACAACTACTGGCAGCTGTCAATCGTCCGCGTCCTCCTCGGCTGGTTCGAATCGGTTGTCACGCCCGGCTTCGCCGTCCTCACCGCGTCATGGTATCTCCGCCGCGAGCAAACACTCCGCCAGAGCATGTACTACACGATGAACACGCTCTTCGGTCAGTCCATCCCCTTCGACACTTGCTGACCTGCGCAGGCATGATTTTCGGCATTGGCAACTACAAGATTGCGGAGCAGCAGCTCAAGAACGGCGGGCTCGCTCCATGGCGCTTGATCAACCTCTTCCTCGGCGGCGTGACGGTCGGGATGGGCATCGTGTGCCTCGTCATCCTCGGCACGCCTAAGGAGGTCTGGTGGCTCTCAAAGCGCGAGAAGCGCATGGCACACGCACGCATTGTCTCGAACGCCACCGGCGGTGGCGAGCACCACCCGTGGCGCTGGAGTCAGGTTATCGAGTGCTTCAAGGACCCGCAGTTCTACATGGCTTTCCTGGCCAACTTGCTCTGCACGATCCCCAACGGCGCAATCACGACTTTCAACACGCTTCTGATGAAGTCGTTTGGATACAGCAACCTCGAGGCCATCATTTGGCTCTTCCCCGGGTACGCGGTGCAGTCGGGCGTCGTGCTCCTCGCGGGAACCGCCGTCTACTTCAAGCCAAGCCTTCGCTTCCCCATCGTCTTCATCTGCCAGCTTATTTCCATGTTCGTCTTCCTCTTCGTCGGCCTCGCCGGTAAGGTGCCCGACAAGGTGGGAAACAATGCGCGCTTCGTCGTCTTCTGCTTCGTCTCTCTCTTCGCCATCCCCATGTTCATGATGTGGCCCCTCATGTCGATCAACGTTGCCGGTCGCACCAAGAAGACTTTCAACGCCGCCATGCTTCTTGTGGCATACTGCGTGGGCAACATCATCGGCTCGCAGGTCATGCGCCGTAAGTGAGACGCAAATCTAAGCTGACCCAAAAGCCAAGGACGCCCCACTCTACCTCACTGGTCTCACCGCCATCGCCATCGTCATGGCGGTCAACGTCGTCAACTTTGCCGCATGGTGGTACTACTACTGGAGCACCAACCGGAAGCGCGAGCGTGCCTTCATTGCCTCGGGCATCACGATGGAGCGCCGCGAACACGAGAACCGTCTCGCTGGTGAGACCGACCTCACGGACCGCGAGAACCCGCACTTCCGCTACCTGTGCTAGAGAGGGTATTAGAAAACGGAGGTATCGCAGAGATTGAGAGCTATTGTGGGACACGAAAGGGCTGGGGAGCCAAGGGGGCGTCCAGAAGGTTGTTTTGTTTGTTGCCAGTGGTTGGTAAAAACTGTAGGAGTTTCAGACGTAGAAGCGAGTATGAACATGGTTGCCACAACCAGCAGCGTTTTGTGGTATTTTTGAATGACCTTCAAACGGATCCACTTGAAGAACACCTTAAACGACCTGTAAAACCACTGAAAGATGCTAGAGGTGATCGTGGCTGGGGACATGAAGCGCCACTACCGAAATTACCCGGCCTAGCCGCAATCTGATCCCGCCCTCCACTCAGTGACGCAGTTAAGTTCACGCAGCAGTCAACTCGGCTCAACAACACCGACCATGGCCTACGACCCGCGGGCCCTGCCCTCCGCCGCAGCGCCTGCCCAGGCGCCAATGCCCTCGGCTACGGCGCCGCCGTACTCTCTGAACCAGGGCAAGACGGGCTCGGAGATGCGCGTCGGAAGCTGGCTGATCAAGAGCTACAAGCGCCCTATTCTGAACGGCAAGGAGATCGATGCGTGAGTCCTTCTGCGGCGAACGTGGGGATAGTCCAAGGCCGCTGTAGATGCACATCTGACACCAGCGTTGAGAAGGAGCTCTCCCTACCTTTGCCCGAGATGACGTTCGGTAACAACGGGTTGCACCTGGCATTTGATGGGGGCGTGACCATCACGTTTGACGGGATCAGCGCGCTGCGTGAGGTCGCGGTCGGCGATGGGTGGGAGGAGCGGGTTGGCGGAGGTGTGCTTGTTGCTATGGCCGATAGCTGGAGCAAGCGGTGAGTTGGGCAGGCGGCGGCATGCGGTGACGACCTTCCTCGAAAGGCTGAGGGGGATGTAGTCGCTTACACCAGATCCGCAACCTCTGCACTCTCCGATGTCCCGCTGAGTACGAAGCCTGTGCGCCCGCACGACTGGACGTTTAGCACCACCTACTGTGGCACCGTCACCGGGTCAAGTGTATGTCCGTTAGATAGCATTTTCTGACCCCAGTTTGAGCCCTCAGACAGCGCGCAGATCCCCATGAAGCTGCTGGCGCGTCAGGACCCAGTGCTGGATCGCATCCTTTTCTACGAGGACGTGGGGTTGTTCGAGGACGAGCTGCACGACAACGGCGAGTCGATCCTGAACGTGCGCTTGGTAAGTCTTACGCGGCTCCCTCGTCTCTCCCTCCCACGCGGCCTAACACCAGCGCGTCATGCCCCACTCCTTCTTCCTCCTCTCGCGCCTCTTCGTGCGCGTCGACCACGTTCTCTTCCGGATATTCGATGTGCGGATGTACCACGCCTTCGACACGGACGAGGTCGTGCGCGAGTGTTCAGGCCTCGAAGCAGAGTACGACGAGGTCAAGGCCTACCTCGAGAAACCCACTGAGCTCACGCCCCTCACGGATCCGAACTGGGTGTACGGCGTGCTACAGAAGATCGCGGCGAAACGCGATGGCGCGGGAGGAGCTGGTGGGGCGGGGACACCGGCACCAACATCCGCGGCCGCACCGGCTGGCGCCTCTCCATCGACGCAGGCGCCGTGGGCGCCGACGCAGCCAACTCAGACTGCACGCGCGACCACGCAAGCGCCGTGGGCGCAGACCACAGCCGCACCTTGGGCCACGGCACCTACGCCGCCGCGCGGCACGCCTGCATCGCCCGGCTCGCGCCCCAGCTTGCCCCTTTCACGAAGCAGCAGCAGCAAGAAGCCGTGGCCAGGGCTCGGGCGGCGCGTGCACGTCCTTCGTCTACCTGCCGCGGGTCTTGCGAGTGCGCAGGCCGGATTACGGAGCCTCAACCTCGAGACTTGAGAGTTAAGCAAGACTGGGATGATAGACTGTATACATACCCTGTAGATGCCAGCGGTCGTCAACGTAGATGCCTATGAGCAGCGGTCGTTGAGCGGCATCAGGTCATAAGTGTGGCCGACGGAGGACTGGCCTCAGCGCATTGCGCCTCTACGTGGAGTCCACTCGATTTCAGGTCATCCCGTGGCCAACTCGCACCTGCACCCTCGCACTACCACGCTCGCCCTGCACTTTCTAATGTTTGCATTGATACGCCTTACACCCATAATAGTCCACTTCATGCCTAAGCCGCAAGAGCCTTGTTGATGACCGCCTTGGTGAAGTCGGTCGTCGAGGTGGTGCCTCCAACGTCGTAGGTGCGGTGATAGCCAGCCTTGATGACGTTGTACACAGACGAGGCGATGGTGTTTGCCTGGTCCTCGAGGCCGAGGTGACGGAGGAGCATGGTGGCGGAAAGGAGGAAAGCAGTGGGGTTGGCGCGGTTCTTGCCGGCAATGTCCTTGCCAACGTGACGGCATCCGGGCTCGAAGAGGGCGTACTCGCGGCCGAAGTTGCAGCCGGGAACGACACCGGGGCCGCCGACAAGGGCAGCGCCGATGTTGGAGATGATGGAACCGTACAGGTTGGGGAGGACGACGACGTCGAACTGCTGGGGCTTGGCGACCAGCTGCATCGAGGCGTTGTCGACAATCATCTGGTCAAACTTGATGCCGGTGTGGCCGTACTCGTTCTCAGCGACCTGCTTGCAGGTGTTGAGGAAGAGACCGTCGCCGAGCTTCATGATGTTGGCCTTGTGCACACAGGTGACCTTCTTGCGGTTGTTCTTGATCGCAAAGTCAAAGGCGAAGCGGGCGATGCGCTCGGCCTTGGCCTTGGTCGTCACCTTCAGCGACTCCACGACACCGGGATACGACTGGTGCTCGAGACCCGAGTACTCGCCCTCAGTGTTCTCACGGATGATGGCAAAGTCGACGTTCTCGTGGCGGGTGGGGAGACCGGGGAGCGACTTGCACACGACGACCGAAGAGTAGATGTCAAGCGACTGGCGCATGGCGACGTTCCACGAGTTGTGGCCGGCAACGCCCATAGGAGTGAAGAGGATACCCTTGAGGCCGACCTTGTTGCGCTTCAGGCTGTCCATGGCCTCCTGGAACAGACCAGCGTCGCCAGTTGTCTCACCCGAGACGTTGTACTCCTCCCACTCAACGGGGACGTTGAGAGTCTCGAACACCTCCTTCACCGAGTCGGTGACCTCGGTACCGATACCGTCGCCGGGGATGAGGGTGACGGTGTACTTGCCTGGGCGTTAGCGGGAAGCAAGACGCAAGCAGGAGCGCAGAGAAAGCGCCGATGCGCGTCGCGGGCAGCGGACGCCTCTCCGCGCGCGCGGGGCCACACTCACCACCAAACTTGGCGGGAAGCTATACGTCAGCTCGGTCCCACATCTTGTTGATCGTGCTCACCTTGTTCTCCATCGCGACCGACGCCATTCCCCGGGCAATGGGGGCGCGCTGTGCATGATAAGGGATAGCCAGAAGGAGGGGGAAAGAAAGCACCGCACGTCGAAAGGAGTAAGAGACGCGGTCAGCATGTGGACAAATTTGTTTGCGTCGCGCGCTGATCTAGCGCGGACATGATTGTCGGGCTCACCTGAGCGGCAGCGGCGGCGGTGCGGAGAGCGCCCGAGGCGGAGGCACGGATGGAGGGGGCGATCATGACGGAGAGGAGGGGGGAGGGGAGATGAAGACAGAGAAGAGGGCTTTTGGGAGATAGGAAGAGACGAGAGCTGGAGGATGGAGATGAAGTGAGATGCGAGTTGCGGAGGAGGGAGGATGGAGGAAGGCAGGGGGCGGAGGAGGGAGGAGGAGCAATGACGGGGGGAGGATGGGTGGTGGCTGCTCACCTCAGGGTCCGTGCCTCGTGATTCTCCAATGCGTCCTCTGGCCCTGCGCCTTGAGTCACCGTGCACCCACCATGCGGCAACTTGCGTCTGCCAGGGTCAACGGTGGCAGATGATTCGGCCGTCCAGGCCGCCTAGCCCCGAGTTCGAAATACCATCTCGAGACTACCAAATATCTCATGCATACCCTGGGCTGTCTCTGCTCTCTCTGCTCTCTCTGCTCTCTCTCTCTCTCTGTGGCCACTCCTTCGCCTGAAACCCGACGAGCGATAACACCAACGCCGATGCTGCGTGTCGTGGAGGGTGGGGAGAGGGAGCGCGGGGCGCAAGGATGAGTGTTGTGTGCACACAAGCAATTAGTCCGACACATGCCACTCCGGAAGATCGGCGCCTCACCCGACTGATCACAGTGCAGAGTGGTCATCGGCGTGTTCTTGATCGCAGCCGCGTCGACAATCACCATCAAGCAAATTGACCGTTTGACAGAGATGTCGCATGCCTTGAGCTGTGGTGGTGAACGCATTTCTCCCCTTCGCTGTTCTAGGCCGATCAACGCCGCCAGTACCGGCGGCAGTTGACCAAGGGTGGGTCCGCCAACCCCTGGATCCCTATCCGACCCCTCCATCTACACGTGTGACCCCGCCTTGGATCGCCGAAGAGGCCGAAGTCCTAATCATTCAGAGGTCATTACAACTGAATCCTAATAGAACGGGCAAACTTTACCAGAAAGATTCAGGCACAGCTCGCAAAAGTTCGAGTCCAAGCGTCGGCCACCAACCTCGCCTCCGTTGTTGACAACATATGCTTGCACGCCGGCTGCCACTCGCCGCCGCTCGTTCAATTTCCGCCCGCCTGTCATCCACCATGTCCGACTCTGTCACCTCCACCCCGCACGACACGCCCGGCTGCACGACGCCCATCCCCGTGAGCGCCGAGGCTGGGCCATCGACACTGCGCGTCAGCGTCATCGACAAATGGCTCAAGCCAAACGGGCCACCCAAAGGCGTGTCCTTCGGCGCGCGCAAGCTCCAGGAGCAAGATGATGTGTGGAGCAACAACGCTTGGTGCGCCCCCATCCATATGTTGCTGACGTAAGGGACCACGCCGAGCTGCCCGACGACTTTGAAGAGCGCGCCGCCGAGATCATGGAGGCGCACGCTGCGTCGCCCGTCCCCGACGAGAAGGTGACAGAGTACAACGCGCGCCCGGCAAAGTACTGGGACAAGTTTTACAGCAACCACGCCGACCAGTTCTTCAAGAACCGCCGCTGGCTGCCGCTCGAGTTCCCGGAGCTCGTGTCGTGCTGCGAGCCAGACGCGGGGCCCAAGACCGTCCTCGAGGTCGGCTGCGGAGCGGGCAACACCGTGTTCCCGCTGCTCATGCACAATGAGAACCCGGGCCTCCGCATCTTCGCCACCGACTACTCTAAGACGGCCGTCAAGGTCGTCCAGTCGAGCGAGATGTACCCGCGGGCGGCACACGGCCTCGGCGAGCTCTCCGCGTCCGTGTGGGACATTACGAGCCGGCCAAGCGAGGAGGCCACCGCCCAGGGCATTACATACTCGCTCCCCGAAGGAGTCGAGCCTGGTACCGTCGACGTCCTCACCGTCGTGTACGTCCTCAGCGCACTGCATCCCGACGAGTGGGCGCAGGCCGTCCACAACCTCTACTCGTGTCTCAAGCCCGGTGGTCTTTTGCTTGTTCGTGACTACGGGAGGCACGATCTCGCCCAGCTCCGCATCAAGAAGGAGCGCTTGCTCGATGTGCCAAACTTCTACATCCGCGGTGACGGCACACGCGTCTACTTCTTCGAGAAGGACCAGCTCGGCGACATGCTCACAGCACCTCCACTTGGTGCGGAGACTGGCAACATGTTCCAGATCCACCAATTGGCAGAGGACAGGCGTTTGGTGAGTGGCAGCTGCGCGGGGCGGGTGCGGTCCTCGCAAGCCAGCTGAGGCAGCAACGGCTGAATATACTAACTGACACCAGCTCGTCAACCGCAAGGAGCAGAAAAAGATGTACCGCATTTGGCTGCAGGCCAAGGCGACCAAGGTGTAGTAGTATGTTCTGGTATTGGGAGTAGGGCATGTATTGAGTCTTTGTCGCTCGCCAACAGGTGTAGATGCACTGACCATTTGACATCACTCGCCCGCATGCGGGAGTGCGGTAACATCAACTCACCTCTGGCCGACAGACAAGTCGATCAGCCCACCTCAATCCTCTTCTTTTAGCACGCTTTGTCCTTCCTTATCGGGCGCCGCCTCACTCCTTGACCAGTGGTTTCGAGCAACAGCACAAACACTGATGACGACGGCGTCTCAATGTAAGACTTCGGCAGCGTGAACGCCACAACAGCTGTTGGCAAGGATACCCTTTGACCAAGGTCCCCTGCCTTCGGCATCTTGATAGTTACGGGGTCTCGTAACACTGCTAATCTCTTCACCTGCCCCCGCACTTCCCGTTAATCAACCTCGAGCACGGGAGCTGCCGTGGAATTGTTCCAAGCCTAGCAGCCTCCGGTAGTGATGCACGTGACAACGCCACAACACTCATCGTGCCTGACTATCACACACATCAACTGTCGCATTACCTCCTCATCACCAACCGGTGTCCATCCTTCCAAACGTTGCGCGACGACTCCTAATCGTTGTTGTTTATGCCCAAGGCGCTCGGAAGCAAAAGCCTGACCTCTGGCGGGATCGAACCGCCGACCTCATGCGTAACTCATATCCACGCGTCTGAAGCGCGCGAGAATCACGTGTTAAGCATGCGCTCTAACCAGCTGAGCTAAGTGGCCTGAGCTGATACGCCTCATATCGCGACTGTCAAGGACGCGGGCCCTTTCCCGGGGCGCCAGTTTCGGGCGCCAGGAGGCGGGGATGACATGGTTTGCACGGCGTGGCGGCGGCGGCGGCGGTGGCGGCGGGAGTGCCGAGCTTTCGAGAGCGATGTGCTTATGTGAGACTGAGGGGGTCGGCAGGGAGGGATCGACCGGTTATACTATGCGCCATTTAGCACCCAAAGATCGGCCTTTGACGATCTTTGGCTCACGGCGCAGGCCTCGGCTCGCACACCCAACTTTCTCGCGTCTTGGCGTCCCTGCACCTGACCGACCTGAATGTTATTTGGTCTCCCGCGCTTTCAGTTACGACGATTCCGATGCCCATCACGGCTGCGTCGCCTGACGGAACACCCGCTGCCAGTTGGTTGCCAGGCCGCACGCTCCGTAAACAGGCTGCCCAACTCTATCTATGCACCGTATATTCCCTCGGTCGCGTTCATATCATCTCAGTCCACTACTGCTGCTCTATCCTTTCGCCTGCTCACGACCGCGACCATCACGGCCGCCACGACCCTCAGTGACCACCTCACCCGCATACCGGCCTCGCGAAGATGCCGTTCCCCATGTGGCTGCTCGACCCGCACCTGTTCTCGCAGGTGTCGCCAGCACCGCCTGAACCCGATTCCAAGTCGTCCCAGACGTCCAGCGCGTCGTCCTCGGCGCCGTCCAAGATCGCGTTCCTGCCTCCGCTCAACGACAAGCAGGGCGCACAACTCAGCGCGATTATCCAACACTTCAGCGCGCCAAACTACACCCTCCCCATCGCGGAGGGAAAGACCAGCCGCGCGCCACTCAGCATTCGCGAAATGATGTTTCTCGTGAGTACGCCACAAGATCGCACTGACGCGCAGAGCAGAGACCAAATCCTCAAGTGAGTCACCGGAGACTGACGTATCCCAGACGCTGACGCCCAGATTTCTCAAGGGTGGGCACACGCGTCGCATTGGTGGCGACGAGACTGACGGCAGTGACGGGGACCACGAGGGAGGCCATCGCGCGTCTTGAGCGCACCCTTCTGTGGCGCCGCACCACGGGCATCGACGACATGGACACGCACATGGCCGCCGTCGAGGAGGAGTGCCGCACCGGCAAGGCCATGGTGCAGGGCTTCGGGCCGTCCGGCATGCCTGTCCTCTACTTCTTCCCGAGCCGCAACCACATCCCCATCGAGCAGCGCAAGGCGATCCACCTGGTGCGCATGTCGATGACCCCGCTGACAGCAGATCTGGATGCTCGAGCGCTCAGTCGACCTCATGGCGGGAGGCGTGACGTGAGTCTGTCGGGGCGTTGAGCTGACGCCAGCAAAATCGTCGCCATCTTCGTTTTTGGAGAGAAGCGGCAGGGTGCACCGACATCGCTCGCCATCGGCAGAGAAACAATTCATTATCTCATGCAGCACTACCCGGAGATCTGGGGCACAGTGGTTCTGTACCGCATGTCGTGGGCCGTACGAGGCTTCTTCGGCGTCATGTGGCCCTTCATCGACCCAATCGTCAAGGCCAAAATGCGCATCATCTCGGGATCAAGCCGGATCAGTGAGAAAGATGTGCAGCGGCACGCGCTGGTGCGCGAGTGTGGCGGGGATCTCGAGGTGAGTGAGCATGCGCTTGGAGGTGCCAGAAGGGCTGAAGGAGGAGAGGAAGATGCGGTGGGCAATAAGGGCAAGGGGAAGCCTGAGCAGTGGACTGGCATGCGTGGGCTTGCCATGTGGGACAGGCGAGCATATGGGGCATGAACGTGTCCGGCAGGACGACCGAGGAGCTGACGCGTAGTGGTCGCACGAGCACAACTCGTATTGGCCAGCACTCATCAACGTCTGCAAGAAGCGACGGGCAGAGTACGAGCGACGGTTCGTGGCGCTCGGACCCGCCATCGGCATCGAGGAGCGCAAGTACAAGTTCGCAAACCTGGAGGACAGCTGGCAATATGATCTGCCGGACAAGAACGGGTCGTTTGTGCGCACGGCGGCGGACATCTACAACATCCCGGCCGCCCACAAGACCAAGACATCGATGGACAGTGCGGCCCCGAGCGTTTCGGTCGAGCCGGGGAGGGCTAGATGAGCAGAGCAGAACGAGCAAAGTGGGACGGTCTAGGTGCTTTAATTTTATTGACGATGTGGCTTCTATAAATGTGTATGTACACGAATTTCTGAGCTGGGCGATGAGACTTCGTAGCCACAAAGGAATGCGAATGTCGCTCGATTCCAGGCGTCGTATACGTCTGCAAAGTTGGGGCACCTATGGGGCCCAGTGGAGAAGGAGAGGGTGCCACGCGCGTCGTATATATCATGGGGCAGATACTGCACATAGCGCGCCAACCGGCCAGGTCCTGAGTGACCAACACAACACACTGCCACCACGTTGAGCACACGCCTTTTGGGCGTCGGGCGACGCTCTTGAGCGCCTCTCGCGTCCCAAAAAGCGAACGCTGACCGCTGACGGGCTCGAACCGTCGGCCTCACGCGTACACAGGCAGACACTTCGCGTCTCGTGTGAAGCGTGCGATCTAACCAGCTGAGCTAAGCGGCCGTTGCAGCTCGCATTCCCGAGATTCTCACGTCCGCGAACATCGCGATCACGCTTCAGCTCGCGAGGGCGGAGCGGAGCGCCAGGAGGCAAGAACAGACTTGATGACGCATCGGAGACAATGGCAATGCTGGTATATGTGTCCATGCCGGGTATGTAGGTGTGTTTACAGATCAGTAACGCGCCTGCGCCGACTGATCTCAAGCCTTAGATTTCTGTGCGTTAGCTATGAGAACGCTTCTTGCTGTCCATCGAGGACACGCAACCCAAGTCTTCTCTCATTCCACATCTCATTCTTGAAGAATCCATCCCTCATACGCGCATCACCCACCTTGTCGGCCTTAGCGCGCATCATCTTCCTCTTCTTGGCCTTGACATTGGCCTCCTTGTCCTCGACGGGCTCCTCCTTGGGAGGCGAGAGCGGCTTCGTCGCCGCCTTGACGCGTTTACGCGTCTCGCGCTCCTTCTGCGTCGGGCGCTTCATGAACTTGGCTGATCGGCCCATGATGAAAGATGCAATCGACAAAATGCAATCGTCGAAATATCCTTTCTCCCTTGCGCAGCTCGCCCAGGCGTCATACCCGGCCGGTGCCTGGCTGCCTGGCTGCGGGGTCAAAGCCCTCCACCCAAGACACGCAGCCACCACCTCACCACTTGCACGATGCACGCCACCCTCTGCCATCTCCGTACTGTCTACCACCATGGCCCAGCCCGCCCCCGGCGCTGCTAACAACCCACCACGACGCTTCGGCGCACGGCCAAGCAGCATCGCCTCCGCGTCTTCCCTTACTATCCCCCCGCCCGGCCCCGCCTCAGCGTCCAACTCCGCCTTCGCCCTCTCCCACACACCACTTGCACCACAACCGCAGAGAGCGCGCTCTTCCTCCGCCGTAGCGCAGGGTACCGCCGTCGCTGCTGCTCAGCAGTGGCTCAGTGCGCTTGCACCGCGCGGCGAGGGGCGCGGGCGCGAGTTCCTCACCAGCACATTAAGCGGCGTGGCGAATGTGGCGACCACCGTTGGCCAGGAACTGAACGGTGTGATAGCACGCGGGGCACACAGCAGAACTGGAAGCTATGCGGGCAACGTCAACGGCAATGGAAATGGGACGACAAGTCCGCCGCTCGCCGAACTTCCATTCGCACCGCGTGCAAACAGACGCGACTCGCTCGCATCCCGCCGTGACTCATCCATCGCTTCCCCCGTCCCACCTCCCACCGCCCCAGCCCCAACGAATACGCGGCGCCTCGGCCCACCACCTCCTGCGAACGCGCGCCGGCTTGGCCGCGAGTCGGCGCCCCCTGCCCCTCAAGCACAAGCTCTCGTTGACACGCCCACAGAAGCCGTGTTCCGCACCCTCTCACCTTCCCCCACCGCCGCAGCATTTCAGCGGACCAACTCGATCGAACGACGCCCCGGACATAACCGCACCGGCAGCATTCCCTTATCGACCTCGCCCGCGCCCTCGGCTGCGAGTACGGGCAGTCGGCGAGCGCGCGGGACACCATACAAGATTGGCTTCCAGCCCAGCGGGGTGCGACGGGATCGTACTGCCGCCTTCACTACTGCGCGCAAGGAGAATGCTGCGGAGCGCGAGAAGGAGGAAGGGCGATTAAATCGGCGATGGGCGAAGGTGCGTCCCACTTTGGATCCGCTGACTCCAGCTCGTCGACTTGCACTTCAACCCGTCAACACAGACGTCGCCCCTGGCACGATCAGGCAGCAGCTCGTTTTCGCTCAGCTCAATCGTCAACGCACGTCCGCAGGTCCACATGGACGACGTGGTGGACAGTCTCAAACCGCGCCAGGTGTGGAAAGGGCTGAAGGCGGCAGCCGGCCCGGGGCCCGAAGAAGCGCGGAAGCGTGCTGAAGAACAGCGCATCGTCAAGTGGGAGCCAGATAGCGAGGTGCGGAAATGCCGCGTCTGCGCGGCGCCATTCAGCCTCAGCACGCGCAAGCACCACTGCCGGTTATGCGGGCGCATTGTGTGCTCGCTCCCGCCGACTCCACCCGCGCTTCTGGCTGTGCAGATGCAGTTGTTCGCTGAGGGCGGCGAGCTTCCTCCGGGGACGCGGCGGGAGAAGTGCTCGCTCCTTCTTGTGGCGGACTGGCGTACAGGGCGTGGCGAAGAGGTGGAAGAAGGCTTCGTGGGATGGATGAGCCTCGACCAAGAGAAGGAGCCAGCCGCTATCAGGCCGTCGCGTCACCACCGGCATAGATCAGGCAGCGTGCTGAGCGACACATCGTCAACCACGACAAGCGACGAGCCGCAGCGCACTATCCCCCTTCCGCAACAACCGCAGGAGGTGCAGGTTAAGGGTGTGCGCGTGTGCCGCGAGTGCTGGGCTACTGTCTCGTGCGTCCATCCCCCGCCACCACTGACCCCAGGCGCAAACAGAAGATCGCAGACCGGACGAGAATCACCCCCTTCGCGCGCCTTTACGCAGCCCTCCGCTCGCTGCAGGCCGAGATCGCCGGCCTCCTCCCGTCGTTCGAAGAGGACGTGGCGGCTCTCCAGCGCGCGTCTGAAGACACTGAGCCTTCGGCGTCATTATTAGCGTCGCACAAGACCCTTCTCGCCCTCTTGGGTCAGTACGACGCGCTTGCCAAGCGCGTGTCCGCGGCGCCGTGCGAGCCCGGCGGCAGTCAGGCGGCGGTACAGCGGGCGCTGGCGCGCAGCGCGGCCGAGTTCATGGCCCGCGCGGCGGTCACAGCACAGGAATTGCCGCGGCTGCAGCGGCGCGCCGCGGCCGCCAGAGCCCGCACCATGGTCGTCGTCGAGCAGCGGCTGCCGGACGTGCTCAAGGCAGAGGGGATACGCGAAGACGCGGCGGAAGACGTTGCTAGAGCGCTCCAGCCGCTGTTGGAGCAGCAGGCGCAGCTCGAGTATGTCTGCTGAATGGAAGGTGAAAGGGGCTTACGCCAGATCATTTATTGCCGAGGCCCATGCGCAGCGCAAGTACGACGATTCACGGTCTCTCGCGGCCGCACTGAATGAAATCGAGAATGAAATCGCGCGGTTGACTGCCAGCGCGCTCGACGCATAGCGACGCAAGTCAGTCGCGACAAGCCTGGAATGTGGGATGGGAGGGCGCATGTGTCTACGCAGATCATGAGGACCATGTACGATCGCGGGGCGTTAGTGGTGGATTGGTGGCTGCGGGTCCAGTTCTGAGTCTTCACGTCAAGTCAAATGGACTCGACACGCTAACATGATGGGTTGTATCGGGGGGTCAAGATGCTGTGCTTCAGCTACAATACATAGGCATGGATTTGGATGGATGTAATGCGGATCATGGCGATGCGGTGAATGCTGAGTGCTGTGGGTGGTACAAATAACAGATAACAGGCACAATGGGGAATGCGATATCACACAACCGGAATAAGAGAAACCGCTAGGAATGTCCGTCAGATGTTAGGGTGTGCGCCATATGTCGGTGCGGCAAGTGTCTCGTCGCGTGGCGAGTCGTGAGGTGTGCGGGTGTCCTGGAACGATGGGAATGGGGATGACCCAGAAGGACCCAAGGTCGGGAGCATAGACCCAGCAGGTTCGGCTTGCGCGGGGGGGCTATACCCATATGTGTACGGCGCAGGGTGCTGCTGAGTGGCAGCAGCCGACATGTCCCATTCGGGCGCATCCGGAAACGGCGACCACTTGAAGTCAAAGTCGTAGATGGGACGCAGCGCCGTCCCGAAGGAAGATTCGACGGGAGGCTTGGCAGGCTGTTGCTGAGAAGCAAAGGTTCCGCTGCCCATAAGAGCTGCGTCACCGTACCCTGCAAAGAGATCTTGATGTCCCGGCCCCGTCGGTTCACCTGTCGAGATGGGAATCCGCGATTGCGCCGCTTCGTAGGGTGGCGTTGCAGCCAGCTTGGACGGTGGAGCAGAGACTGGCCGTGCCCAATCATGCTGCTCAGCAGACGTGTCCCAGCGAGGGGGATCGGCTGAGACCGCCCTTTGCTCGCTTGCTTGGGGCGCGTTCGAGTGCATGGTCTCAAACACGTCAAATGGTGACGACGTGGGGTCGATGGGCGACACCACATTGGAGAGATCGGTGGGAAGAAAGCTCGCTAGTGCCGATGGTGGAGTCTGCTGCTGCGGATATGACGGGTCGCCGCCCCTGTTGCGCGAGGCGTTGGACGGAAGCATGGCATCGATGAGTGGGGCTTCCTCGGGAGGGAACGAAGCGAGCGGAGTGGGCGTCTGGTGTTGCTGTACATGCTGTTGTATAGGATAGGGGCGGCAGCGCGGCCACGGAGTGAACGGCATGGGAGACGGCGTACCTGTGCGCAAGTAGCCGAACGGCGAGGGGAGATAATGCAGTTGAGAAGGTGGCAGTGGCGGTGGCGCCTGCTGCTGTGCCCTATTCGACGTCAGGCCGAGCAACACCCTCGAGTCCATCTGGTGGGCGTCAAATCCTGTAAAGGCTGCGACAATCAGCACAGACGCCCCTCGCAACAAGTTCCGAAATCTCTTTCACTCACACTGTTGTGTGCTTCCACCGACCTTGATCGGCTGAGAAGTGACGCCACGAGCAAAGATTCCCGGGCGCGAATGCTGCGGTCAGCGAGGGGCTATGGATCAGCAGCAGAACGCACTGCCAGTCTATTGGCGGCTGCCGCTTGCACCACGTCTTGAGTTGGTGCGAGACGCTCAGGCAATTCTCGCGACACTGCCGGGGGCTGCACATTGCCGGTCCGCTGGGATGGACCGAGTGGATGGGTTGCTTCGTATTCGACTCCCAGTGGAGCGAGTGGTGTTGGTGGGGGAGCTGTGCGTTAGTAGGTTCAATGCGCAGCGAAACGAAGCTGCGACTTACCAGCAGGGAAGAAAACACGGTTGTGGATCAAGTCGGACAAGTACCGCTCTTGTTGTGCAGATAGTGGTGGTCTTGTTGGCAAAGGAGGGCTCGAGCCTGTGTAGTGATCGCCGCCGAGCGCCGATGCTCCATGGTTGACGCCGCCTCGCATTGGATAGGGCGACATGCGCAATGCGGAGAGTCCGCGTCCAAAGGGATACTGCCCAGGCTCGTGGTCGACCGACCTAACATTGTCACGCAGACGTGAGCGCAGCGCATCTGCCAGAGCTCTTTCCCTGACCGCCGTGTCTGGGAGCTGGTGGTGGTGGGAAGTCGATGCATGCGCTGGATGCGTAGAGGACAATGAGTTGAGGAAGGCGGTGACGTCTGTTGCGTGGTCCGAGGGAGGGACAAAGTCTGGATTCCAGTCTTCTTCGGACAGCTGATCTCCGCCCCTTCGCGAGCGGACAAAGTATGCCGCACCACGAATCTCATGCTCCTGCCGATGAGGTCGAATAGATTCGAGGAAGCGAGCGATGTGGACCTTTGGTTGCGCGAGAGTATATGGGACGGCCTGGATAGGGGGGTTGCTGCCCATCGCGCGCGCAAGCTTAAGGGCAGTTGGAGTGCGCTATTGTCGAGAGCTTGGGTGTGGGTGTAGCAGCAGCGGGGTGACTATGACGGTGGGGTGCTCGAGCAGTTCGCTAGGGGAGTGAGAGAGTGGGAGAAGAGTGGGAGGGAGACTGGGAGGAGCGGTTCCTCTTATGGGGGGGGGGGGGGGGGGGGGGCTTGGGAGGCGG